CCCCCCCCCCCCCCCCCCCCCCCAACCCAACTCTCTCCCCTCTCCCATATCTCCCTCGTAGGCCCGATCAATCTCGTCGTTTATTTAAAGCCTACAGAAGAAGAAATTCTGATTTCTGAAAGACCAAGAAAGAAGAAAGAAAGAAAGAAAGAAAGAAAGAAAGAAATCTTTTTGATTTTTTCTTGAGTGGGTGTATCTATATATGTATATATCCAGATTAGTTCCTTAATTTATCAACAAGAAGAGCCATTTCATTCTGGGTCTTGATCCAACGTTGTCCACTCTGTTCTGTCCCTTCAATCGCACCGCCCTGGCTCGCCAGTTCCAATGCAAGTTCACTTTTTTTTTTTGTTTTCTGCTTTTTCGTTTTATTTTTGTTTTATGATTGTTAAAAGAGAAATACAGTGCTCCCTGTTGATTATTCGTACGCACGCACGTGTGTATTGTGAGGACGTTGGGCGATACTTCCGTGTGTCTGTGACTGTTACGTTGCAGAAAGTTGGGTTCTTTGACTTTTTGGTCCAGATGGTGGTGGTGGGCATGCACCATACTCTATGCTCATGATAATGTTTTTTTTCTTTAAAAAAAATTCTGGGTTGTGGGTATTTATTTCTCTGAAATTGAGTGGATTAATGGAAGGGTAATTCTGGGTTTTGGTGATTTCTTGAATTGAATTTGTTGATTTTGGGTGGCATGCAAGGGGGGATTTTTTTTGGGTGAAAAAAATTGATCTTGTGGTTGTCTGGTTGGTACTTGATAAAAGGTCAGCTTGTTTGAGTTGTGGAGGATTCTTTGTTTTCATCTGGTTGTAATTTGTGTTGTTTGATGTAAAAGGTTGGCTGGAAATTCTTGTGTGTGATGAATTGATTTTTTTTCCAGTTTCATTAAGGTTTTTGTGCATGGAAGTTTGAAGTAGGTTTTAAGTTTATAATGATTGATTGATTGATTTGTTCAGTTTCATGAATCATTTTAGTTTGCTTTTTAATGGTGGCACTCTCACACCACTGTCTACTGCCAATAATCCATTTGATACGAGTTTTATCGGTTGAAATTGTAGAACTTTGCCTAATCTGTGATACAAAATTTCAATTTTTTATTTTAGTAAATTAAAGAAAATAACATTTAAGGTTCTTGCTTCTTGAAATTTAATAAGAATAACATTAGTACATGTAGAAAGTGAGTTGGAGCTCATTTTCAGGGTTGGTTTTATTTGGGCTGAGTTTTCTTCTAAATCATGTGCATTTGTGAATAATCTTCAGGAGGTTGTTTTGTCATCAAACAGAGATAATTAAGTTCTAAGCAAACTGCCACTGCACTCTGATTCTGCTTTAGTTTCCATTAGATAGGTAAATGATCATCATCATAACCACTGTAAAACTTATAAACACTACAAATACATGCAACAAAATAAGATTAATTTGGGAGCTTTATTGATAGGATAGCTTTATTTCTTTCCGTAATTTACCTTAGTATTTCTATGGTGGTCAGCCTTAGCTTTTCTTACTTGTATGACCAGCCTCATTTGTCTTCTGAAATGTTTTATGTGCAGTTGAGAAGCTGAGTTTTGGTAGAGCCGGCTTGTATGGAGACTAATGGTCATAGAAGGGGTAGCAAAAAGAACGTTGTTTCTATCCAAAATGGTCACTTGAACATATCAAGTTGTGTCGATGAATTGGATCCGTGGACAGCTTGGGCATACAAACCGCATACAATCACATTGCTATTTATCGGCGCATGTTTTCTCATGTGAGTTTTCAATCTCCCTATAGGTTTCTTTACTCTTTTTTTCTTATAGAAAATTTCAAGTCCATGTTTCTTCTGAAGTAATTTTCAATACCTGTTTACTTTATATCATCAACTTTTCAGTCTATTACTGATTTGGAAGAATTATATGCATCCCAAAGTTCTATTTAGCATTTCGGAAATTATGTAGAGATTTCTTTACCATTTGAAAGTATTGTTTTCATGCATCCATTGGTTCTGAAGAAGAAGCTATTTTCCATTAACTATTATTGTGAAGAGAGAAAGATTTTGTTGTATAGATCTATTAAAAGGAGTTCAAGAATGCCCTGTACACATGATATTCCTCAGCTAATATCATTTTAGCATCCATCATCTCCGATGGAGCCAAAATTTCACCATTTTTTGGCTTTAGGGTGTGATGGAATAAATCAAAATGGATCTCTAAACTGTCTGCGCTTCTTTAATTAATGAAGTAGCAGTTAGTCAAGCAATGCAACTTTCGACGTTGAGCCGAGGGTCTCTTTGGAAACAGCCTCTCTACTTTCGAGTAGGGGCAAGGTCTGCGTACACACACCCTCCCCAGACCCTATTCTTGTGGGATTTAACTGGGTTGTTGTTGTTGTTGTCAAAGATCATATTGGGGACTTCAAAGTTCCCTCCTTTATGAGACGATACACAATTGCTTTCCTTTGATGTTCTTGATTTAAGCATCTTCACACATTTTCTTTTAATCAATTGTTGTCCCCCCTGCAGTTTTCTGACATTAAACATGTTTCTCTTAAAGACCCTGATTTGTTTATGTCAACATCTTTCAGTTGGGCCAGTGGAGCTCTTGATCCAGAAAGCACCTCAATTAGTGATCGTTCTGTTTCTGTGAAAAGGTTTTTTCACTCTCTTTTAACTTTGTGCTTTTTCACCTCCAATGTTTCTACGCACTCTAAAAACAAGTTTTGGACAACCATGGCCTTCTTAGAGCTCTTTGGTGTTGATTAAGCCAAATCATATTCTTACAAATTTAAAGAGTTGTTTTTCTTCTTCTTGTAATTAATAGGGGAGTATGGGCAATGGTTGCAGTATATCTGGCTTACTCTTTACTACAAGCCCCTTCAACGTAAGTCATTACCTTGGATTTGTTATGAGAATTTTCTTTTGCATCTGCTTAGTGTCAAGTACTTTTCATTGCAGGGTTCTTACAAGACCCCATCCTGCCATCTGGCGCCTTGTTCATGGAATGGCTGTCATATACCTCGTTTTATTGACATTTTTTCTTTTTCAGGTTAGTTCTTTTTGAGATTCTTTTTTTTCATTGCTTTTGTGAAGTAAAGTATGACTGCTTCTTCTTTCACTTTGTATAATCTTGTCGATCATATTCTCTCAGAAGCGTGATGATGCTCGCCAGTTCTTGAAATATCTACATCCTGATCTTGGTTTTGGTAATACCATTTTCTTGGAATATCAATGCAAAAAGATCTTTTTATTTATTTATTTTTGTACTTTAGGGGTAAGGTCTTCATACACACACCCTCCCAAGACTCTACTTTTCTTGGGATTTTATTGGTATTGTTGTTGTTGTTGTTGCTTGTGTAGAACTTCCCGAAAGATCATATGGCGTCGATTGCAGAATCTACATACCTGAAAGTAGAACCAACAAGTTCAAGAATGTTTATGTATGTTCCAACTCTTACAATCCTTTGAAAAATTCTTTCCATTTTTGCCCTTGATCGCGTATATCTATCTGGTTTTTTTTGCATGGCTTGTAGGATACCTTGTTTGATGAGTTTGTTGTAGCTCATATTCTTGGGTGGTGGGGAAAAGCCATAATGATTAGAAACCAGCCCCTATTATGGGTCCTATCAATTGGCTTTGAGTTGATGGAGGTAGAAAATCTTGGCCCAAGCGCCGTTTGGATTACACTTCGATTGTTTTCAGAAATATATTTGTTAAGATGAGTGTTCAAAGCCTTCTCTAATCTTTTTGTTTTGGTCATTAAGCTTACCTTCCGCCATATGCTACCGAATTTCAACGAGTGTTGGTGGGATAGCATTGTTCTTGACATATTCATCTGCAACTGGTTTGGTGAGATTCAATTTCGTTTTTTTAACATTTGAGTATTATCGAAATGTTCCTGCAAACGAGTGGTTTTACTTAAAACAGTTGAACATTGGTTTAGGAGCCAAAACGTGTATCCAAACACGACTCATAGATCCTAGAGTAATGCGTTCTGTTAGGCATGTGTTTATATGATGTACTAACAGGTAATGTGTGTTCCCAACAGGTATATGGGCAGGGATGCGAACCGTTAGGTATTTTGATGGAAAAACATACCAGTGGGTTGGTATAAGCCAACAACCAAACATTATAGGCAAAGTATGTATTTCCTAAATCCTAGACTATATATACTTCTTACTTTCCATTTTACTAGGTCTCTTGTTGCGCCCCCGGGGCACAGCATAACTAGCAAAGGCAAATGCTGACCTGTAGGGTGGGGGGTTTGAATGGGGTTTGAATCCTGAAGGCAGGTCTTTGGGTTCGGCCCCTTGTAGGTGAGATTAGATGAGACAAAAATCCTGTTATCCTTGTGCGAGTTGAGGCACATCCCGCGATTTACTTCATCCACCTACCCCAGGGCAGGGGTGTGGGGGGACCCTCGGGGTGGGAGTTTCACCTTTTTTTACCAAGTCTCATTGTTCGGTTTGATTTGAACCTGTTTTTTAAATGATTATTTCTAGGTGAAACGGACACTTGGGCAATTCACGCCGGCATGTTGGGATAAAGATGAATGGCATCCACTCCTTGGTCCTTGGCGGTTTCTTCAAGTCTTGAGTCTATGTGTTGGGTTCTTGACGGTCGAATTGAATACGTTCTTCCTTAAGTTTTGCCTTTGGATACCTCCAAGAAACCCTCTCATCATATACAGATTAATCTTGTGGTGGCTAATCGCAATACCGACCATTCGCGAGTACAATTCTTACCTACAGGACAGGTAATTTTTCCCTTTCGAAACCATGAAAATTTAGATTTGCGGCCCTTTTTTTGTGTACTCATTTTCTTAACATTGATTTTTTTGGATGAGCAGAAAGCCGGTGAAAAAGGTGGGATCATTTTGTTGGTTGTCACTTGCTATTTGTATTGTTGAACTCCTGATGTGCATAAAGTTTGGGCACGGTACGTTCTTATGGTCACCATTTTTCTCATCCATGCGTTTATGCGCAAGGCTCTTTTGATATCCACCCGTGTGTCATAATATGATGCCGATCATTTGAGTGTCTTATGGTCCTTCATTATATTTTGAAATGATTCATACTTCCTCTGACCCCTCACAACCCCCCGCTCACCTAGCGCTCTAGAAGAAATTTACCTAAATAAGACTAGAATATGTATATTGAGCATGTTTTATATCTAGATAGATAATTAGATATTTTTCCTCGTCAAAATATTGTAGCCTATCGAAAATCTAGAGGTAGGCTAGGAGAGCAGAGTTATATTATGACATCCAAAGTCATATTATGATGGAGGGTTAGGGGGTAGGAATGACTTCGGGGTCCAACGAAATACCGTAGCGCCCCAAAGTCATATCATGACATCCAAAACGTGTTAAAAGAACCGTGATCTTCATTTATAATCAACTTTGGGTGCCAATTCATTCATAATGTCTTTTGCAGGATTGTTCCCGGAGCCGATGCCCAAGTGGTTAGTAGTGTTCTGGACATCCGTTGGGGTTGGCCTTGTCACATTCTTAGTTGTTTGGTCATGGCAATTGATGACGAGAAAACGACGATGATTTTGTTTTGGAGTATGATCCTTTATTCTTTGATTCTTTTCCCCTGTTTTTTAGATTCTGTGTATAGTAAATGAAGTTTTGCTGTGATGTAAATGGGTTGTAATTTGTGGTTGGAGGATACTAGAGGGGGTTTAAGGATTGAATGTTTTTAGAAAGAATTAGTCTTTTATGTTTTGTTGTCTTCTGAGATGTAATTCAAAAATTATATTGTTCTGAAGGCATAATATTGGTACTTTGGATTCAAAGATCCATAATTGACAATGTTTAATTTTCAGACACGAAATGATTTAAATCAAAATGAAAAATTGAACTTTCCTTGCTTTTTTACGTTCTAAAAGATGTTGGAAAGTAAACTCAGTAAGCCATCAACAGTCTAGTCGAGAGACTGTAACTCTTTTTTTAGGGGGTAACCTATCGACTATCAAGTGAATTTGAGTAAAATAAAACTTAGTGCAAAAATTCAATTTATGCTTTCTTTCGATCTTTAAAAATAAAACATCAAGCATTAGTGCAAAAAATGGCATAGGAAGTCATATGGAGTTCAGTGTGCCATGAGTTTTGTTGTTGTTGTTGTTGTTGTTATTATTATTATTATTATGTACTCCCGGATAACAAAAAAGAGGGGTAAAAAAAGAAAATACTAGAAATTATATTGATGAAAAACCGGCACAAACATGGATTTGGGATGGATCTGAAAACTAAAACTTCCTTTAACATATGAACAACCGGCACAAATGTCTCGAAGGGGACCCAATCAGACCACACCTTGTGGCGATGAAGAGCCTGTTTGAGAATGACGTTAGAGATTAGCGTTACCATTTTGAAAAGGCTATCTACGGGCAACGTTTAGTGTTTGCATTTTCAAAATAATTTGCATTCTTAAAATTTTATGCAAAACGCTAACACTATTCCCATATAACCAGAATCATAAATGCCTTCAACCATCAATTCTCATCACTTGTTTCAAAGACAACTCATCATTGAAATTTTATAAAACTAATTGAGTATACACATATGTACTCATTATCAAAGTTTTGCACTCTTGATCATGAAAAATCAAATTTAGTACCAATTTTATAACAAAATTGCCACTCCAAACCCAAAAATAGGGCCTAGAACATGTTTTCACACATGACATTTTTCTTTTTTTTTTCTCATTGCAAAACCTGCCCCGTCGTAAGTCTATGGTTCCCAATGTGCCTGATTCCATGTCCGACTTACTGATTCATTCAAAATCGCTGTTGTCACTGAACACGTGAGGTTCTTGGTTCCCGGCATTACCTTCTGTTTCCATGGAAACAACAGATCCATCCTCTTCATCTTCATCACTTTCACCTCCATCATCATCTTCGCTGTCTTCATAGACAACAGGGGCTACAACATCATCTTCATCCGAGCCATAGCCAATCGTCTATGCATCGAAACAGAAAATGTGTCTTAAAAGATACTCCGTATATACATGTAATGTAGACTCACGAGTAATTGGACGAATGTCCAAATAATATTTAAAAAAAAGGAATCTGAGGGGTTTAATTGTATTGGTATCACACACTTACTCTGGCATAGAGCAAATCCAAGCTACTTGATAGCTGAAGAGCTTGATTAAAAGTAGAGACGCGGGATTCGGTGAGCTGCAAATTGCATAAATTAATAGTTAAGGGCAAATATGATTCCTTTCCGAGAAAACAAACAAACAAAACAAAAAAAAAGATGAAATCTTGCTTTATCATGCCGTCCAGAAAAAGTTAATAGTTAATGGTGAATCCTTGTCCATTGCCAATGGAGCTAAAAAAATCATTCTTGACAATGTATTAGCTTCAGGTATATACTGGACTAAACCAAAATGACTCATTAAACTTCTCTTGGTTCTTACAATGCTAGGGGAAGAAAAAATTGCCAAAAGGGAAATTTCATGAGTTTGAATTTACCTTAGAAAACACCAAGCCTTATATACCCGGTATAAATTTATTATGCAAATAAATACAGCATGTTTGAACTTTGAACATGTATCAAAGAGAAATTTTGTTGATTTTGAACTAATGCTTTGTTTTCCTCCACATTTTATTTCCTTTCCAATTTGCCCTATATTTCCCTCTCTATTTTCTTTGCATGTCATTTACCAAGATCCAAGGGGACCCATAAAGTTCTGTTTCAAGTACCGATTATAACCACCAAAAACAAATAAGATATCTGATCTTACCTGATATAAAGAATTGAGAGCAATGAAAGAAGATTCTTGAGACATTATTCCACTTGAATGTTGAAGAAGTACACTTCTCAACCAAGGAAGAGCACAAGCCAATAGAGCACCCCTGCAAATGAAAACTTCATCACAATTATATACTTTGATCTCAAACACCCTTTCCCTAAAACAGAATGTACCCAATGTTGAAGCTGTCACACATTCCCGGAAAAAGGGAATACCAAGAATGCCTTTCCCTTGCTTATTTGCAAGAAGTCCGGCCCAAGCCTTGAAGGGGAACTCCGGGACAAAGATTCCAAATCTGTTGCTCCGGGGTCCAGGCCTACCCTTTAAACACTACCTCACTAGCTACCATTACTCCAATAACTGTCCGTAGCTTTGAAGGTAAAAACTAATTTTTCATTAATTGACAAACACACCCCGGACATTTAAAGTAAGAAGCAAAACAAAATAGATGTGGAAGGAAAAATTAGCTATTTTCCTACTCAGTATGTTTTACTTCATTGATTAGTTTAAATGTTGTGTATATAATAATGGACTAAGTAAAAGGCACATTAAACTTTCCTAGCTTCTAACTCTCTGTGAAGTTTTGGGCAGTAAATGCAGCAATGCATCTAAGGTCTATTTCAAACAGTCTCTATGTTCTTACAGGGGTTATACTGTGTATATCTTGACCCTCAAACTCCAACGGAGTTGGGATTATACTGGGTTGTTGTTTTTGTTGGTTAGTAAAGTGTACAACTAGTGGTGAACAAAGCGCATTTAGCTTTACAACAGAGGGAAAAGTGATTTATTTATTTTTACCTTGACTGAATTATGGAAACAAGGGACTTCAAAAGCTTGATAACATCAGAAGGATTTAGTGAAGCAACAGAGTTTGTGATTACCTGCAGGACACATAAATTGTGATTCAATCCCAAAAACAGAAAAAAGAACTTAGTAGCCAATGCAAGATAAAACACTACGAAGGGAATATATAACTCAATAAGACCTTCTCGTCTTGTCTAAACAAGCAATCTATCAGAAGGGCACGATCGTCGGCATTCAGTGCTTGTTTAAGCAGTACATGAACTGAATCTGCACTTGGAGGCTTCGCTTCTGACGAAGGTTCTTTGACTTCACTGACACTCACCAGATTAAGACTCGCAAGTTTCTCGCCCATAGTTGGCTCACTCGAATCGTCATTGCATTCATCAACTCCTTTGGCAATTTCACTCTTACCTGTATACCATTTGTAAGCATTCATTCAAATATGTGACCAGCTGTAATTAGAGAATGTTTTGCAAGATAATCATCTGAAACCTTATGATAGAAAATTGAAGATGACGAAAAAAACTAGAAACAGAGGAACCATTGGTCTAAATTTAACTGAAATTCAAACATTGAACGAAAACGAAAATTTATAAGATGATACATTGGGACTTACGGAGGCGAGGAAACTAGAAAATAGATAAAGGAGCAAGTAAATTGGAACTGAACTAAAAGAAAAAGATACATAAAATTAAGCAAAAGCCATTATGACACGACGAAATCGAAGGGGTTTTACCCTTAGATCGACGGCGCCGAGTGGTCGTTAGGTCCGGCATCGAGATGGGCGGTGATTGGTGGCGGGGCACGGCTATGACGGCGAGAGATGGCGGCGGAAACAAGAAAGTTTGAAGAGATGAAGGGGGCCTGCGGAAGCTGACTGTTTAGGGTTTACAGTTGCCCAATTTTCTTTCAAAAATACGGAGTAAAATTTTTACTTTATTTTTCCAACCATTCCAAAATACAGTACGAATTAACTTTTTTATTTTTTTAAAGAAAAATATTGAAACGATGAGAAATTTTTAAGTCCAAATTTATTTTATGAACTTTAATATATAAACATTATGCAAAAATTGATTTTTTTTTTTAAAATCATTTGATAACTCATTAAAAATGTGAAAAGATATATAACTCATGAATGAAAGTAATGTCTTACACTCTTACTCCTTCCGTCCTAATTATTTGGCCTAATTATTATTTGGAGATTCTAATAATTTTTTATTGCATTTGAGTTTTTATTAATCATTTTTTAAAATAAAATATACATCACATCACTTATTTTGTAGAATTTTTGAATAGTTTTTAACTATTTAAGATATATTTTTTATTTGAATCCCAATTCGAAAATAAAAGCTTTTTAAAATAGATAAGATTTTATGCGTTGTTTAAAAGAGAGAAAATAACTAAGGATGGATGGAATATTTTTCTTTTATTCACATAAATTTTAATCACTCCGTGAAATAATTTTACTTGTTCTTATTTTACCTTGAAATCTTCTTCTTAGTAATTCTAAGTTTGGACAGCCTTACAGAAATATTGCCAAGAGCAATCCTTTGTTTTGTTCCAACCTTTCAGAAAAGATTTGAACTTTGAACTCATTAACTTTTAATTTTTTGAAAATTATGACCTTACCTTACAAATGTTGACTCTAATTATAATCTCAAAAATATGTAGATTGTAAATTAGACATAAATACTTTTAAACTTGAGTAGTGGACTGAGTCAAGATATTTTAAATCATTTTTAAATTTTATAAATGACACATTTGTCAAAATTTTAAAAAAAATTGCTAAGAATATTTTAGGTCGATTAAGTTCAAGATCAAATTTTTTTATGACAGACATTCACTATACACGTTCTCGAAATACCAATTCTAATTCAAAATGATAAGACGGGATCATATTTTTCAAATAGTTAACACAATTCGAGTTCGAATTATTTTAAAAAAACTAAAATCAAGCATTAGATTACTCTTGGCTTCAGACTTGATATAATTATTAGCTCCAGAGTAGAGTTAGAGAATAGTAATAACTTTTAGGTCGAACGAAGGACCATATAAGTCTCGAATGGATCAATGTCATCGTATTATGATCTTGGCCACTAATATTAAAAGAACCTAACTAAAAAAAATACACAAATTAAAGGAAAAAAGAAAAGTTCCCATAATAATATGAAAAGCACAAAGAGTAAAGTGTCAACAAGACTACCCAACAAACCAAGTAAAATCATACCAGAGTAGGGTATGAGGGTCTGTTACCCTTACTTTGATTTAGGGAAACTATTTCTAAGAGACTCCCGGCTTAAAGA